GTCCCTGGAGACGAAGAGAGGTTGAGTTCTCATTACCAGCCGCTCCATCCTTTCTCCTCCTAGTGTGTCAGGAGCAGGCAAAATGTTGGTTCTGCCTGGGATGCCCTGGATACATTCCTATGAGTATTTACTGAGCATCTGCCCTGTGCCAGGCACCGCCCTGGGCCTCAGGGCTGGGAGGCGCCGTGGGTTGTCGCAGCCCTCCCCGCGCTGACACCAGGCCGCAGGCAATCGACAAGAGGGATAAATATGTAAATATGTAGAAGTTAGAGGTAAGACAGACTCAGAAACTTACAGAAGGGGTCTGAACTGTCAGGGGCTGGGAGTAGAGACAAGAAGGGCGTGAGGGCACAGGCCATCGGGGTGCTGCAGGAAGGGCATTCCAAGCAAAAGGAACAGAGAGGCAAAGGCTTGGAGGTGGGAGCAGGCCTGGCAAGTCCAAGGGCAGAGACAAGGGCCCTGTGGCTGCAGCGAGTGGGCAGGGAAGGGGTCTGGATCCAGCAGGGCCTGTGGATGACCCAAGGGACTCTGTTCTCTGGTGAGTGGGAGCCACAGAGGATGCTTAGGAGAGAAGGCACTCTGTCTGCTCCTCGCAGAAGAAATGGTCAGGGTCCGGTCAGGAAGCAAAGCAGTTGACCTAGTTCAGAGGAGAGAGGATAACCAGGTGCCCCGGGAAGAGGCAACAAGGCTGCAGGATGGATATACTTTGGAGGAGGAGCAACAGGCCTTGCGGCTCATGTGGATGTGGGAATGGAGAGGTGGGAGCAAGGCGTAGCAAGATTATTATCTAAGTCACTGGAGGGAAGCCGAGGAGGCAGGAGAGGGCCGGTGACCGCAGGAGCTCAGTTGAGGGTGTGTGGCACTGAAGGTGTCTGCAACACAGTCCCATAACCTCGCCGCGGGGGCAGTGCTTGTACGAAGCCAGTGTGTGCCACACGCCAGCCAGGCCCTCCCCTTCCCAGAATTTTCTCACCTATGTGCTGCTTGTACTAGGATTGACCTCTTTTCATCAGCTGTGATTGTTCTGTTTTAAAGAACGAGAGTCCACTACCCTAACTGAGAGACGGCAGGATCACTTGCCCTAAGTAGAGGACACTAAACCACGTGACTCCGCATAAGCCAATGATGTTGCCCGCTGAGAGCTTTGAGCAGGTGGCAGGCTCCCTCCCGGTGGAAACAGGAGTCGTGTGGGTATGAAGGACACGACGGCACCGGCTGACATTTTCTCCTGGAGCTTATCAGTAGTAAAGGGAGTCGCTTTCCCACCACTGGCATACCCAATATTTGGTGAGGGGTTCTGTGCTGCTCCCACAGCTGGCATGCCAGCTAAAGCCACCTCTGGGACGACGAGGGGACCCAACATCCAGCCCAGGACCCTTCTGAGCCTCCCTGAAGCCAAGGATTGACCAAGTGCATAGGGAGCTCTGTGCATTCTCTGGGTGAATTATCACTACCTCGAGTGTGGTGTGAACCATCCGTTTCTGGAACATTTCTGAAACCATACATTTCTGCAACATGACACCCAGCACCTGCTGTTCCTGTCAGTCAGTCCTGGGTTTGAGTCTACATATCCCACTTCCCAAGCTCTGTAGCTCTGACCGGTCATTTAACTCCCTGTCTTCAAAAGGGCTGTTGGGGTATTAAGTAAAATGATGCTTGACACATGCCCAGCGTGGTGCATACCACAAGCATGCAGCCAGCCAGACTCACTGCTCTCAATAATTATGATGATTATTATTGGCGTAGAACACTGCCCTCTGCCCCAGGAAAAGTTTGGACCTGTCTCATCAACTAAATTATATTAGGAGGTTGCCAAGCTCCGAGGCCTTCAGGGACCTGGCTGGTAATACGAATGGGCGGAATGGGTGTAAGACTGCAAGGCATGGTGGGGAGTGTGGCAAACTGGAGAACACGGAATCCATCGGACGCTATTTCAAGTCAGATTTTTTCAGATCCACCGCACAAAAGGCACATGTCTGTGAACACAAACCAGCTGGGGCTTTCAAGGTCCATAGACGCCTAAAGAAGAAGGTCCTATGTTTCTGAATTTAGCAGATATTTACTGAGCACTGTGCTAGGCTTGGGAACATAATGGTAAATAGAGCCGGCCCAAATCCCTGCTGCGGCTGGGCCAGGAGGGGCAACGGGCAGTGTGCAAACAGGGGAGCTAGAAGTGGGGTCCGAGGGCAAGAGGTGCTATGGGGAAAAGTGCAAGGGGAGGGGCCACGGTGGGTGCCAGAAGCAAGGGCAGCGGCATCCTTTCCAGGCTAGGGAAGTCCCCTCAGATATTTGATGTTTGCTCCATCACCTGAGGAAGGCTGGAGGGAGCCCTGCAGGCAGAGGGCATAGCTCAGGCAAAGGCCATGAGGTCGGAATGTAGCTAGTGTGCAAGCTGGGGGCCTAGGGGCATGACCTTGCTATCTCAATTGGCAGTAAAAATTCCATATAGAGAGAACGGATGGGCAAACAGAAGGCCTGTCTGGATTCCTGCCCCTTCCCCAGGCAGCGCTCAAGGCCTGGGAGGGGGGCATCCCACGGTTCCACGCAGGCTCCAACCTGTGAGCACCAGATGGTCAGGCAGGCCTTGGAAAGCCCCCCTCATCCATCCCTTCCAGAGGGAAGTGTCACACCTGGTAGAAACCCTGTAATTGCCTCCAGTTACAGGTGGGTCCCCTGGGGCTTCTTGGGAGGGCGTGTGACCTTGAGAAGAGACGCTCACACAGTCCCGAGGCCTGATGACTCCTGTTCAGTTTGTAACCCAAGAGCCAGTTCTCTGCTTCAGCCTTGCTTTCTTCCACCCACCGCTGGGAGCCTTGGCCCAGAGGCTCAGGGAGCACACCTGGTTCTGGGAGGGTGTCCCTTTTAAAATCACGTCAAGTGCTGGGCTGGAAAGGGCAGGCTTTGCTGTGTGTCCTTCCATCTCCCAGTAAGTTTTTATAGAGCACCGATTATATATTCCCCCGGGGGGGGATTGGCGGGGGAGTGGACAGCACCCTGAGTCACCCAGAACCCTCAGTCCAGGGAAAGTAGACCACAAACAAATGACCCAGTAAAGGAGACCATTTCAGAAGGCGATAAATGTCAAGAAGAAATATACGGCTGGTGAGATGGGGAGTAAACAGTGGGGGCTCCTTCAGATGGGGGGGCCAGCCGGGCTTCGCTGAGGAGGTGACCTCGGGTTGAGTTCTAAATAACAGAACAAGCCAGCAAGGCCAAGTCTCAAGAAGAGCCCCACACAGAAGCAACAGTGAGTGCAAAGATCCTGGGGCAAGGATGAGATTAGAGCATTTGAGAAACCGTCAGGAGGCCAGTATAGCCAGGTAAGCAAAGGGGAGGAGAGAAATGAGCTCAAAGGAGCACAAGAGGTGGGTTGGCAGCAGGGGCAAGTCTAGAAGAGTCTTGGGCCGTGGTAAGGAATTCAGTTTTTCTTCCGAGTGCCATGGGAAGCTATCCAGTGATTTTAAACAGTGAGGAGATATGATCTATGTTTGCCTCAGGGAAACTCTAACTCTGTTTCCATCCCTATTTGGCAGAAAGATGGGATAAAAAGAGCCATATAAATCTCCTTTTCATTCTTCCTGGTAGGAACAGAGGGCTGAGGTGGGTCTGATTAGTTGTCCTTGAGTCTCTGAGGGGCTGTTGGTGACTGGGTCGGCAGCTCTCCCACAGAAACTTCAGATGCCTGGTAGACCCCGCCACCGACTTCATGTGACCATCCCCTCCGTGACTGTGTGTCTTCTCCGTTCTCTCTCTTACAAAACACCTGTCACTGGATTTAGGGCCCACCCAGGTAATCCAGAACAAGATCATCCCTAGATCCTTAACTATATCTGCAAAGACCCTTTTTCCAAGTAAGATCACATTCCCAGGTTCTGAGGGTTATGATGTGGACATGTGGGGGAGGGCAAGTGTTTGCACCCCTCAAGCCACGACAGACCCTAAGAACTTTAAGGAAAAGGAAAGCTCCTGAAGGTGACCACAAAAAGGAAGAAGAAAATGACTTCCATTGACTATTTCCCTAAACCCACTAAATATTCAGATACCAGCCATAGTATTACGCATCTACCCTGCAACCATTTATTGAGTGCCTACTGTGTAGCACACACCATGGGGGCATTGAGGATTGAGCACTGAGCAAGGCACATAGCCTTTGCCCTCATGGGGCCCTCAGCAGGGCAGTGACCATGAAAACACCTGTGCACAGTACGGCTTCTAGAACACGGTAGTTTCCTTTCCTTCCTAAGTGCCTTTCGCTGCTACAGCTTCATTGAGAAGCAAGAAAAGGCATGAATGAAGCCACACTACCTGGTGGTGTATAATTAAGTCCCAGTAACACAGGCTGCATGCATAATAAAGGCTCAAGGGAATCAGAAGCCAGAGTGATCACTAGAAGAGGTGTGCCTTGGCTGGTGGGTTGAATCTGGGGAGAGAGGGGAAAGTGGATTCCAAAGTAGGACCATGTGGACAAAGGAGCAGAGCACTTGGCCAAGAAGTGTGCAGGGAGAAGGTGAGCCCAGCAGGCTGGCATGACCGGATTTCAGTAAAAGTGAACAGTTCTTGGGAAAGTTCCAAACAAAACAAAGTATAATCTTCCCTGGGTTTACATAGTGGTTGCTTTCCAAAAAAAAAAAAAAAAAAGGAAATCCCCGGCAATTAATAGCCTGCAAAAAAAAAAAAAAAAAAAAGATGTTCTGTTTCTATGTAAAACAAAGTTCCACTCGAGGCTTGGATCCTTGACAAACAGCTGTTCACCCGCTCCCCATGACCACCCAGTGGGACTGCAGACCCAGGAAATTTCTTGCCCAGACGTTCCTTGCTGGCCCCAGCCCACACGTGACCGTGGCACCCGCCCCCATCCGTCCCCAGAGATTTCTGAAATGTACCCCCTTCCCCAGGGATGGGGGAGCCGCCCTGTTGAGAACTACCCATGCCTTGTGGCCCCGCGGGGGCACTAGTTAGGAGCTGGCCGGCCGCACCTCACCTTGGCTCCTGATTTGCAGGGTCCATGCAGGTGATGAACAAGACGCGGCGCATCATGGGGCAGGGCGGGGCGCACTTCGTCAACGCCTTCGTGACCACGCCCATGTGCTGCCCCTCGCGCTCCTCCATCCTCACCGGCAAGTACGTCCACAACCACAACACCTACACCAACAACGAGAACTGCTCCTCGCCCTCCTGGCAGACACAGCACGAGAGCCGCACCTTCGCCGTGTACCTCAACAGCACGGGCTACCGGACAGGTAAGGGGCGCCTGGAGGCTGTGGGCGGGCCGGCGGGCAGGGAGCATTCGTTGGAAGTGGTGCCGGGTGCCTTGACCTCGCTCCAGTTTGGGGTCCGGATCCTGCCGGGATTTTAGATGATTTTAGATGATAGCCCACGGACAACTTCATTTTAACTTAAAAGTTGTGCATTTTGCATTTAAAAAGTACAAAACGATTTGCCTATAGTAGGGAAAAACTGATTTTTCCAAAGGAATTTGAATTTTTTTATGAGTCCATTTAAAATATGAAATATAATACAGAGAGAGGCTAGAAGTACTCATGCATGATTTGCGTTTACCGTGGGTTATGTTGGGGACTGATTTGTTGACTTCAGACTGTCAGTATGGAAGAAGGTTCCAGAAGAACATTGGGGTGGGGATGAAAATTGGTGTGGAAAATGGAAAGAAGCATATGTGGGACTGTATGGCCACCCTGCAGACTGGCCCAGGTTGACAGGGATGGTTTGTCTACACTTGCTCTCTGCACTACCCAGCAGGCTCCAATCTCTCTGGTGGTCAGTGCTGCGGGATCCTATCCTGGTGTTTGGGGGGGTGTGGGGTGGGGGGTTGGATACAGAGCAAGTGGCGTTTCCTGTCTATCTTGTGGGAGGTACCTTGGTTGGTTCCCAAGGCTCACCTGCCAGGCCTGGGGCAAAGACATAATGAAAACCCTTCTCTCCAGCCCCACTGCAAAATCTTCCAAACTCAATTCGATTGAATTATTAAGAAGTGAATTCTCCACACCTTGGGTAAGGAACCAACATAGTCATGAAATCAGACATCGTGCCGGAGATATTGCTACCCCGGGGAAGTTGTGTCCACGAGACAAGAGGCATGTGTGATGGGAGTGACAGGAGGGAAGGATGGTTGCCTCCCTCAACTCAGTTCAGAAATGAAGCAGCCTTCCAAGCTGGGGATTGCGGGGGCGGGGGGGGGGGGCTTCCCTCAGATACACATGTGGCTGGTGGTGCACATTGGGGGTGGGGAGCAAGAGGAAGGTGTGTCTCCTTACAGATTGATTCTCCTGCAACAGTCACCCAGACAGTGGCTCCTCCGGAGAGAACTAGGAAGGCCTCTATCTTATACACATAAGCCTCTTGGTTCCTGGGTATCTGCAGAAAGCCACAGGTGTCAGAGTTAACCACGGACACCCTCCCCCCCAGGTGGTTGTAGGGAACCTGCAGGTAAATGGTCCCACAGCAGACCAAAGGGCTCCTGCTGGAAGGGGCATCTGCCTCTCAGGTCCAGATAATTATGGCCATATGTGCTCACAGGTACCAACCTTCAAATATTTGTAACCTGAATTTTTAGCTGAAATCTGCTGATATTAAAAAAAAAAAAATGTTGCCAAACTCAATTTTTTTTTTAAATGTACCATAGGGGTCAAGCAAAATCTGTCTGAAGGCGGAGCGTAGCTCATACTCCACCTTTGGAACATCTGATTACAAGATCTATGTAGAAAACTTTAGGTCTGATATTGGAGGAGAGGATTTCAGGGGTTTTTTTGCTGCTGAGTGTGATGTCAGCTGTGGGTTTGTCTCATAGGGTCTCTGTTATGTTGAGGTACATTCCTTTGTACCCACTTTGTTGAGAGGTTTTATCATAAACAGATGTTGGGTTTTGCCAATATCTTTTCTGTGTCTATTGAGAGGATCATATGGTTTTTAACCTTCATTGTGTTCATGTGGTGCCTCACATAGATTAACTCGCCAATGGAAACCATTCTTGCATCCGTGAGTCAGTCCCACCTGATCATGGGGTGTAATCCTCTTCCTGTATTGTTGGCTTCAGTTTGCTCATATGTTGTCAAGGGTTTTTTCATCTCTATTCATTAGGGATATTGGCCTATAATCTCCTTTTCTTGTGGTGTCCTTGTCTGGTTATGGTATTGGGGTAGCGCTGGCCTCATAGAATGAGTCTAACAGTGTTTTCTCCTCTTTTTTTTGTAGGAACTTGAGAAGGGTGGATATTAATTCTTTTTTTTTTAATATTTCGTTTATTTATTTAAGAGCGAGAGCACGGTCGGGGGGAGTGGCAGACAGAGGGAGAGGGAGAAGCAGACTCCCTGATGATCAAGGAGACTGATGTGGGACTCGATTCCAGGACCCTGAGATCAAACCCAAGCCAAAGGCAGATGCTTAACCAACTGAGCCACCCAGGCACCCTTAATTCTTCTGTAAATGTTTGTACCAGTGAAGCCCTCTGGTCCTGGACTTTTGTTTTTTGAGAGGTTTTAGATTACTGGTTCAGTCTCCTTACTAGTAAATGGTCTATTTGTTTTCTAATTGCTCATGATTCAGTCTTGGTAAGTTGTATGTTTCTAGGAATTTATCCATTTCTTCCATGCTGTCCAATTTGTGGGTACATAATTCCTCATAGTAGCCTCATGATCCTTTGTTTGTAACAAAGGATTTGTCACCTCTCATTTCTGGGGTTTTTTTGAGTCCTCCCTATTTTTCTTGGTGAGTCTAGCTAAAGATTTGTCAATTTGGTGGTTCTTTTCAAAGAACCAGCTCTTAGCTTCTTTGATCTTTTCTACTGTTTTAGTCTCTATTTCATTTATTTTCATTATAATCTTTGTTATTTTCTCCCTTCTACTAATTTCTGGCTTTGTTCTTCTTTTCCTAGTTCCTTGAGGTGTAAAGTTAGGTAGTGTATTTGAGATTTTTCTTGTCCCTTGATGCAGGCGTTTATCGCTATGAACTTCCCTCTTAGAACTGCTTTTGCTGCATCCCATAAGCTTTGGGATGTATTCTTTCCATTTTCATTTGTCTCAGGATATTTTTTAAAAATATCTCTTGATTTCTTGTTTGGCCCAGTGCTTATTCAATAGCATGTTGTCAACTCTCCCCGTATTTGTGAATTTTCCAGTTTTCTTATTGTGATTGATTTCTAGTTTCATACATTGCGGTTGGAAAATATGCTTAATATGATTTCGGTTTTCTTAAATGTATTAAACTTGTTTTGTGGTCCCACGTATGATCTGTCCTGGAGAATGTTCCATGTGCACTTGGGAAGAATGTGTGTTCTGTTACTTGGGAATGGAATGTTCTGTAAATGTTAAGTCCATCTGGTCTACCATGTCATTTAAGGCCAATGTTTTCTTACAATTATCTGCCTAGATGATCTATCCGTTGATGAAAGTAGGGTATTAAAGTCCCCTGCTATCATTGTATTGTTGTCTGTCTCTCCCTTTAGGTCTGTTAGTATTTGCTTTATGTATTTTAGTGTTCCTAAATTGATGAGAGATTCAGCTGCTTTCCATTTCTCCTTGTACTTCATTGATGAGAAATGAGTCACTGTAGGGGAGCCCAAGAAATGGAGTCTCCATTCTGGATGACCATTTTTCCAACTAGAAATTCCTTTCTGCAGGAGAAGAAGACAGCGGATACTGAGGGAATATTATCAAACTCTAGTAATGGTTCACAACCACTTGTGTGTGTGACCCCTTTTGAGTACAAGAGATCAGCCTGAAATGTACAAGACTGGAACCAGAAAAACATTCCTTAAGTGGACCAACAGTGGACCAGCATTTCATGTAAATAGTGCTTTTAGTGCATTTAGTTGGGCCTTTTATCTTGGGGGAAAAAAAAGGAAACTACAAAATTTTTAAAATAACCTTATTTGATGTCGTATCTCATGGCAACAAATGTTATGTTGTGATGGTGACTAATGGGTTCATTCTTTAACCTAATGGGTTGGTGAAGAGACAGTTAGAGGTGGGGTGTGACTTGTCCAACAAACTGAAGCGACAACACAATGTGATATCCTTTACTGAACGTGCAGTTCACACAGCAAAACCGTAACAGGTCATTTTTGCAGAAGCATTAGGGATTTGCTCCATCTCCCCAAGGGCCTCTCTGACTCCTCTGACTTCTGAATCTCCCCCCACCCCCCGCCATGTAGTACTTACTACCTCCTCATCCTTTCCAGTGGCTTCTTCAATTACCTCACGGAACAGAACAGTGTTTGTCAGTGGATTTGCATGTGCCTCGAGCTCTCCTCTAGCATCCCTTTAATTAATTTCCCCAAGCCTGGAGTCTTTTACAAGATCCGTGTTTTCATTTGGCAGACATCTTACTTTCTGCTACCCCGTGCTTGCAGTAGACACGGACAAAGGACGAAGTGTGAGATGTGAAGTTGAAGAAGGTCTGTTCTTGGGTATTTCTGTATGTTGGCTTCCTCTGTCTCTGGGGACTGGGATCTCAATTCTAAATACCCTGAAAGGGATGAATTGTATCCTCAGGTTTTAATAAAAGGTACCTTAAAAGGTGCTCAGTCAACTCTTAGCACTTGTCAGCTGCCTGAGTGTGCTCACTCGCGTTGCACACCTGAGGCGCAAAGTTCTGTAGTGTTCTGGCAGTGAGGCTCCTCCCAGCTCTTCGCAAAGCCGTTGAGAGCAAGGACTCTGCCTGGGTTCAAATCCTGATGCTGCCCCTTTCTAACTGAGTGGATTTGGACAAGTTATTTAACTTCTTCGTCTTGATTACCTCGAGGAGGGATAAGAATGTTGCTTAGCTGATATGGTTTTGTGGGGATGAAATGTTAGAGCAGTGACACACCGTAAGCACTTAGGCAATGTTTGCCCTGATGTTGGTGACAATTTTCACAAGGGGCAGCACGTCGGACCACAAGCCCCAGAGCAGCGTTCCCAGGAATGTCGCGAGAGATCAGCTTGGATGGTGGAAAGAAGTTGTGCGCACGGGTTAAAATTGACAGCACGTGCCCAACCTCTCTGGTTATCAGCAGAACGCAAATGAAGGCAACAGTGGCCACAGCAAATATTCAAAGGCCCCGTCACACCAAAGTTTGGAGGGGATGCGGGGAAGCAGGGAGTCCCACACATCAGCAGCGGGAACGCATGTGGACACCTCTACTGCCCATGAGCACTTCAGCAAAGCGGAAATCAAGGACCGTGGGAATGAGAAGGAAGGAAAACACACCGAGGTGGCAGTCCCAGATTTCTAGTACACTGCTTTG